TTACAGGATACGGCATTGCACTTAAGAGATAAAGAGCTCTGGTACGAACCCCGTGAAACTACGATTCGACAAAACAGCTTAAATCCGCATGAGAATGTAAAAATAGCACAGTTGCGTCAACAGATATGTTTTTATATCACTTTTGCATTGGTTAACACTATCAGGTAGGTTTAGGGTTGGGTTTGTGTAGGGGATATTTCCAACACGATAGAGCATTAAACTTTAGCGACACTCCCCAGATTTTTTTATTCTGAATAGCCGCAATATGTACCTCAAGCAGCGTAATAAATACGCAGGAATACGTGCCTGTAGCAACGTATTAAAAACGTGCCACGGTCACATATTAAACGTGTGTTTTAGTGCCACTGTCTGGACATTTCACTTTGAAACTGCCGTGAAATGTGCAGTAAGGTACATAATAATGGTGTTGCAGAAATGTATTTAAAGGCATGTATTTCCAATGAGCCTGGGTTGCTGACAAGAGTACACAGCAAAGGAATGAACACTCAACTCGTGTGCTTACAACAAAAATAAAACATGCAGTATGACAATGAGCCCAAACTAACCAAATAGGAGATCCAGATACCATGCTTCATATAATGCACCACAAAGACGAGAGGGTGCACAGGCAGGACTCTGGCAGAGAGCCCCAGTCAGGAGGCCCAGTAGATGGACGGACCAGGGAGGCTCCGGAAGATCAGGGACCCCAGATAATGGCCAGGGCTAGAGCAGACACTGGAATGTCCTCCGTGGTCATGAAAGTGAAAACGGGCAGTTCTTGGATGGCCAGGAACACCAGACTTAGACCTCCAAAATCACCGGACTCTGGATAACTGGACATGGGACCTCCAAGACCACCTGACTTGTTAAAGGGGTCATATTGATGCTACATGCACTTTTACAAGTAGTTTGAACTGAAATGTGTGTTGGCAGTGTGTGTACACAACCACCCTAAAATGATAAAAATCCACCCAATGTTTTTTTTTTAATCTGACTGGACTGGTGTCTTACCTTAGCCCCGCCCTGAGTGAGCTGTCATCAGTCCGCCATTGTTTCACCTCTGGAGCAGATGCAGACACGAATGACTCCTAAGCGATTGAGGTGTTCTGGTGTTGGATGTAATAATGAACATAGCATTCGTCATTTACTCCCGACATCTGAGCCGCTGAAGACGCAGTGGATTACCTTTGTTTTTGAAGAGAATGTGCCCCCGATCTACATAAATGCGTTTATGTTCGTGATCATATCAACTTGTGGAAAATGGGCATCCTATGACCCCTTTAAGCAAAGGGAACCCTCCTCTTCTTTCTCTTGTGAAGGTGAGGTGGTGGTGCAGACTTGGTTTCCTCTGGGAAAGCTGAAGTACACTCAACCACCTCTGGGGGTGGTCAGGGGGGCCTCAGGTGAGGCAGACATGAAACATTAATGTTGGGACTGAACCAATGGAGACAGGAGTGTCGAGATCCGCACGCTCCACACACAACACACGAGAGAGTGCACAGCATCAGCAAACTTGAGGCTGCAAACAAAGACAAGACAATATATGAGTTCTTAGTCAATAAGCTAAGAATAAGTGCAACCGAAGTGACAGAACCCTGAAACCTGCAACCTAATTTTGGGTTAACCAAGGCCACTACCTTAGAGTGAATGATTTGGGTAAATCTTCAGCTCAGATTTTTGGAGCCCAGCTTTTAATAAGGAACATAAACCACAGCACAAATATCCCTTACTAGACTCCACATGTGAGAACATGTACACATACACACACATGGCCCTCATTTAGATCTATGTACTTGACTCATCTGTAAAAAATACATCAGATGCAATTTGTGCTATTTGAAAGGTTTTCATGGCACAAATAATCAAATGCACATTACATTTCTTGCTCGATTCTTACACTGATTTAGTTGGCGTGAAATAAGTTATGGCAGAGCAATAGTAAGATGACTTGACTGTTCTTGCCAGAGAGGTTGTCCGTGGGGGTTTGAAAAATGACCTGCATCAATCTACAGGCAAGCAAAAAGAGAAATTTAAATATAAGATGTATGATGGATGGTCTTTCATCTGCCTTTGCTTTAAACTCAGAGAAATAAAAGCTCTCAATTGTGATAGTCACTCACAGGATAGGTGAAAATTAAACTCTTGTCTACCCCTTGTGTCAGACTACTCTTAGGTCTGAACAACTTGTATCATGTAGTTCTAATGGAAGTTCTTAGGGCTTGAAACAGGTTTCTTGAAGCAGTTTCCTTTCTAACAAATTTGGCGTTGGTCTATTGTCAGGGGAAGTTGGCTTTACTGTGTCCCCCACCTTAATCTAAGTAATGTGCTGCCATGCTGAAGGAGATGGTGAAAACTCTTTCCATTCATCTTTCTGAGCCTCAGGTCTGAGAAAGCTGGAATGAATGATGACCTGGTTTTATTCGCTTGAGGTGAAACTGTGTGTAATGTAGAAAGTAGAAAATCAGACCTTAATGGAATAGTTCCCCAGAGCTCTAAGAAAATAATAGAAAAGCTCTGTATTACTCAAGCTTTATAATTTTAAAGGGATCGTTCACCCAAAATTGAAAATTCTGTCATCACTTACTGATCTGTATGACTCATCTGCAAAACACGAAATTTTTTTTGAAGAATGTTGGTTTTGTTTATCATTGACGTTTCATTGTAGGAAAAAAAATACTTTTTCTCAAAATATCTTTTAGGCCTATTTTCCACAAAAGGATTTCAGACATAGCTTTGTGTGATTTAGGTAGTTTGATTAACCGCAATTTCTGTCCCTCATGTTGTTCCAAACCATCTTTGTAATGATGACAATATTTTAAGATATTTTTTACTGAAACCTGAGAGGTTTCTGTCCCTCCAGTGAAAGACCATTCAACCAAAAATTCATCAAAAGTCATCGTAAAAGTAATCCATATGAAGTCTTCTGCAAAGTCATGGTCACTTTATTTGATTTTTTTTTTTTTTGAACAATGATTTAAGCCCATCAAATATGGTCAACGGCAGCTCAGCCATACATTCTTAATGCACAAGAACAAACCTTTTTTCTTTCACAGTGATCTGTCATGTTTCATTAAAAATATCTTCATCTGTGTTTCAAAGATGAATGAATTTCACATGGTTTTGGAACGGCATGAGGGTGAGTAATAGATGTCAGAATGTTCATTTTTATATGAACTATCCCATTAAGGGTGGAGGCAATGCACAAGCCAGTGATTGTAATTTCTTGGGAAGGACTTCTGAAAAATCCTTGTTTTTCTCCCTACTCTTCTGTGTGATGTTTATAATTGTCTATTTCCAGAATACCTCAACTCAGTATAATAGTCACTTCACTTATTTTGATATCTGTAAAAACAGATCATTTTCAAATATCATTGGTTGTCTTCATTTTGGCAGACTGCTCTTCCTTAAGGCCAAACACACCCTCACATCCATTGGAAATTCTAGTAAGCACATTTAGATGTTGACTGTCATTGTTCATTGGTGTCTAGCTGTGCCGTTGACTCTCTAATACGTAAAGTAAATCCCAGATTGTCATTACGCAGCTGTTTCAGTCCATTGATGGCTTTCCACAAATACTTAAGAGACAGATTGTAGGATAACTAGTGCTGTCAAATGATTAATCGTGATTAATCGCATCCAAAATAAAAGTTTTTGTTTACATAATATATGTGTGTGCACTGTGTATAGTTATTATGTTTATATAAATACACACTCATAGAGTATATATTTTGAAAATATTTACATGTATATTTTTATATTATATATAAATATATTTCATATACAAATATAACATTTTTCTTCAATATATACGTGCATGTGTGTGTATTTATATAAACATAATAAATATACACAGTACACACACACACACACACATATATTATGTAAACAAAAACTTTTATTTTGGATACAATTAATTGTTTGACAGCACTAAGGATAACTATATCAAAAGTCTGTCCTGCTTAAAGACTTTTAACCCACTTAAACCTCAATTAGTCTTTAGTGGCTAACCACAGCATATCACAACTCTTTAAAAGCTAGCTTGTGGTTTACTACTTTCCACAGTGTAAATCTTAACATTTAAATCAATATAGTGTACCTGTTCCAAAAACTAGTAAGCTGTCTCGCTGTTACTGTTTACATGTGCAAGGTAGCGCTTTTATCATAAATGTTAGCCATTTTGCTAGCTTTAGCTAGCAGCTTCTCTCCAATATTTACTATAGCGCCATTTTGGAGAGTATCACATACGTAAACAACGTATGCTGTTCTGTGTCAGCAGCACCGTACGCGGATACGCTGTTTACGCTTTGATCTGAACGTAAACAATGTATCCGCGTACATACATTGCATTCGTTGTTTACATATGTGATACTCTCCAAAATGGCGCTATATAGGGTGACGTGGAGGAGACGAATTGTTGAATAAAGTCATTATTATTGTTTTCTTTGCACACAAAAAGTATTCTCGTGGCTTTATAACATTACGGTTGAACCACTGATGTCACATGGATTATTTTAACGATCTCCTTGCTACGTTTCTGAGCCTTGATCGTGTAAGGATCCTTGCTGTCTATGGGAGGGTCAGAGAGCTCTCGGAATGCATCAAAAAGATCTTAATTTGTGATCTGAAGATGAGCGAAGATCTTACAGGTTTGGAAAGACATGAGGGTGAGTAAGTAATCATTTTTGGGTGAACTATCCCTTTAAGAGATATCTCCGCAAACCGTACCCACAGTAACTGGCAGACAGAGAGCACCTCAAAGTCGTTGGATTGGCAAAAACAATAGTGTGTTGCTGTCTTGCTTTTTTGGTGATTACAGAATCTCAAGATATTGAGATATTGATGTCTCAGGACACATATTTCAACAGTGTCTATGCTATTCCATTAAAATGTGCAAAAGAAACATGGTGGCTAATGACTCTTTCTCTTGTGTGTCATCTTCAGTGCTGTGGAGTAGCTTCATCTGCTAAATTTCATCACTCCTTCTCTGTATTCACTCTCAGGATGTGGACAGTTTGCAGATGTATCTGGAGGAGGTTCGTTTCTTTGACCTGTTCAGCTACAGTGAAGAGGAGGGTGGCTGGCTCTGTTTCATGTGCAGTAACCCTGAGAAAGCCACAGGTAAATAAGATTTGCTTCCTGTTGGTCTTGTATAAACACATGCACACAATCAATGAGTCAAACCTACGACAATATACCAAGGTTATTCAGTTGCAAATAACCAAACGTAGTCCCTGATGTGTGAGAGAAGTAATGGTGAGTCTTTTCAATGAATCAGTTGATGCTGTTCACAAAAATGGTCTTAATGATTAGTTCACAGCTTGGGCTGATCTGGTTCTCGAGTTCAACTCGCTAACTCGATCCGGTCACAGCTGTTAACAGCTCACTTGAGGGCAAGATAATCAGTGAATAACAGTGATGATTTTAAAAGTGTTACAGTTGATCCTTCTCTGACGTTAATGATTAGCGGCTACATGATTTTGCAAAAGCACATCAGGACTCCAGATGTCACATACAGCTTCAGTCCTCTGTTATGATTGCTGAAATCTGCTTTCCATGAGGAGAAGAAAGAAACAATAAATAGAGGAGAAGGTGGTTTGTCTCGTTTCTGTAGCTGAGATAGTTTACATCAGTCCAGCATTAGGATGTTCATCATTTAGACAAAGAGGCTTCTGATCCCATTCAAGTGCATCCAGAATTGCTGTTGCTTTGTTTTGAATCTTCTCCAGATATGCAGATGTGCTTTTTCCACAAGAACCAATTACATACAATGGAGAAGGTTTTTGCCTCTGGCCTGAATGTTTACCAAAAACAATGAAAGATATTGTAAATTGGTGCACATGGAGCATGGCTATTTCATCTGAGATCATTTATAGGCATTTGAATCACTAAAAAAAGAGAAAGTCTCAGGTCTCAGCATTGATATTGCTGAAACACGCCATCATTTTCCATGTGTTTAACAGAGCTTCTGCACTGCAGTCGGTGCAGTTTGCGTAGTGAGGTCTAAAACAATGTGTTCCTGTAAAAAAATAGCTCCATTGCTTCATAAGCTTCATCAGAAGGTCAATGTTGTTTGACTAGCTTCACCAGCTAAGATTTGTGTGACTACTAGCAACACAATGCAAAACAATTTTTTCACAATGATATTTTATTTTATGTAATCAATTGAAATTTGTTAAATGGAAGTTTACTTAATCTATTTGGATCATTTTTGTTTGTCATAACTAATATGGAAATTTGTATAGAGACCAACACAAACAGGGGTGCGTTTCCGGTACAGTGACGTAACTTGCTGCTAAACCACCATAGTATGCAACGTTGGAGAAATTAACTAGCTTCTCATGACTGTTTCCCAAAACCACAGTAACATGTTCACCCCTCCATTGTTTGAACCACACAAAATAATGTTCTTTTTAGCAACATCATATGAGTTCACCCTAACTGAAATTATGCATTTTAAATTCGAATATAATTCGAATTTTGATAATATTTAAGTACAAAATTCGACTTTAGTTTTTCAGACATTTTGACAGCCCTAGTGCTTTGAGAGTGCTCCGGAGTTCGGCTCCGGCATTAATGAGAAATTCAAACAAGTGCAAAGTGAAATTCAAACAAGTGAAAATGCAAATTCATTCTCTGCCAGCAGGAGCCGCTTTTAGAGTGATAAAACTTGCGGTTTCCCAGTAACGGCTGTAATCAAATCAGCTCTGCTCATGAACGCTACTTTATCAAATAAAAATTAAAATGTCATCGAAACTTTTCTGAAGACAGTCGGGTCCCTTCAGAGATACATTCAGATAAAATACCCGCGACGTGTTTTGATTTTGAAACGTGTAGTGCTCATGTTTATTCAAGGAAGTCAAACGCCACAAATAAATCAATGTATGGGAAACACTGGTAATGTATATCGAAATATCGGAATGAATTTAAAAGTCACATCACCGTTATTGAAAAAAATGATACCACGATACATATTGATATTGAATTATTGTCCAGCCCTAGTCCTGACACATGAGTTTGGACGAGAACGCACACATTGGCGGTAATGCATAGACGGACACTGCTTGAAAATATGGACAGTGCCAAAACAAGGTGCCTATTTATACTACAGGTATCGATATTTTATGCGTGGCATCGATACATCGTATCGTTAGACATTTGATCGATGTATGGATCCATATCGATGGATCGTTACACCCCTAATAATTACATGCACGCAACCCTAATTCTAAACCCTAACCCAAACCCTAACCATATAGTAAGTACATTAATATTACTCCGTACTTAAATGTACTGTATAATTACACTGTAACAAGGATGCCTTAAAATAAAATGTAACTGTGTTTTGCAATTCAACAGGAACGCAATAGGTACATTGTACCTAACATTCATTCATGTATTCATTTTATACGTTTTTTGAAATTATTTTTATTTATTTATTTTGACATATGTACATGGTAATTAAAGACACCTAATATAAAGTTGTACCTAAATCAAAATTTCCAACGGGAACTTTAAATAGAAATGCCCATTAAAACCAGAATTTAATCTCTAATCTTGTAGCTAATTTTGTAAATTTACATGTCTTATTTTGTAAAATGTTAAACCCAAATTATTTAAACCTCATGAACATATATAGTGACCTTTTCACTATATAGTCTCTCTCTCTCTCTCTCTCTATATATATATATATATATATATATATATATCATTTAACCTCTTCAAAACCCCGGATAAACTCTTGAACCTTTATCTTATGTGTTGTTTTCGACACGGAGTTGGATGTACTCCAACTTTGCTAAAATATGTGAAACCCTGTCCATTAAATGCTATAGAAGTGAATCCACATTCTTAGCAGGAGTTGAGACAGTCCTGTCAGAGCTTCTTTCTTTAGTTACTCTAAATCAACAGTAAAGCAGAACGCTGGCCAAAGCCCAGAGTAAAATCTATAACATACACCAACCAGCAGAAAAATAAACACTAGCCTTCCTTTCCCTACAGTGACTAGCAATACCCTCACTGCATAAATTTACAATTGTAGGAGAACTGGAATAAACAATACTTACCTCAAAAGATATATTGATGTATTGCTAACATAGTGCTCCAAACCTCTTACTCAGACTCTTTTCCCATTGGCTGTTTTTGCTTTCTGTGCTACGTGTGAATTGGAACTGCCAAAACCAGATTTCCAAATGAGCTGCATCCAAATTAGTATAATATACTGTTTACTATAGGTTTGTACTTCACTTGTGATGGGAGAGCACATTTGAGTACATCACAAACAGCTACAATGCTTTGGGACAATATGTAATTTCAGAAAGACCAAAATTCCTCAAACAATTGAAGATCTATCTTGCTTTGGACTTGCCGAGCATCAGTTTTGGCCTCTGCTCTTATCATAGTGCATGTTTCACTTTCATGACCACAAACAAACTCATTTTTAAGTACAGTATCATATACACAATAAAATAAACAGAGGACAGAAATCATTCTAGCCAGACAAATGTAATGCAGAATGCAGCGCAGATGCTTTTAATATTCTGGGATTTATGAAACATACATTTCACATTGGTTTTGCTCATGTTCTCACACACACACACACATACAAGTGCTTTGATTCATGCATGCCAGAGAAAGGCAGAGAGAGTAAAAAAAATCAAAGTAAAATGAAAAAGAATTTATTTGGAATTCATAATAGAGAATTATTATGTTGCTCATGGGATAAACACACTAATTCAATTATCACTCATTACTAGCACTGTAATGCAGACATCTGCAGAAAGTTTTGGGCTGAAATAACCAGAACAACAATTATCTCCTCTAAGGCTTCTCATTTGTTCTGCCAGTTTGAAATTTGAAATGATGATTTTGGCTGTACCACTTCAAGTGTATCCGACACCCAATACATCATTGTTTTGATATAATCTATTGAATTGGCATTCATTGTGTTTTATGTTTTATTTATTTAACTAATTTTAATAACAGAACATTTTCTGAGGGTTAAGTGCCTTCTTTTACTGACAGTTTGTTGAAAAAGAAAAAGAAAATGACTTAATTTTTAAGACTTTCAGGCCCTGTTTTGTACCCTATTTCTAGAATGTGCCTTTTATATCCCAGAATAAAATTATTATACTAACCTAATTTAACCAAAAAACAAATGGCCCTTTTTTGTTTTCCAGGGAACTGAGGCAGGTCAAGGGCAGTAAGATTTTACCCCGGTGTTAATCAGCGCTCCAGTGTTCTCTAATACACCATGGACTTAACTTCTGCCAGTTGGGATCATAGTTAGGTGATTATCAAAGATCAGTCTTGCTTAATCTTAAGTGGGCTATCAAAGCGCTGCAGATTCTCATCTGTTTTCCTTGCTGAAAAAAAACGAAAACTCAGACAATGGGCTGCTTTGTACCATCCTGGAAGGGCTATAACACAGCTTCCTGTTTAACTGAAATAGACCCATGAGAGATCTGTGAAACGCTTTGTGTAGTTCAGACAGACCCAGCAAACACAGGCAGGAGACAAAATATTCACAGTGCCTGAAACCACACCAGATATTTCAACATGGTGGTAAACATTGAGCAACGCTCTTTTGTTCGTCTAATGAGAAAACTTTGTAAATAGCATGGAGTAGGTCCAGAAGAGGATGGCTTTGAGTGAAGAGTATTGTTTGATGTTGAGTGCTAAGTAACTTAGCACTCTAAAATTCTGCCCTATTTTCTTTGGGCAGAATATAGCCCATTTTACACATGCTATCTTTACTGGTAAATTACGCTTTAGAGGTAATGTTTGAACGGGACCTTTTCAGAAATACCGGTAAATCAGTTTTGGTTATTTTCTGGTATGAGAAGTTGTAACATTACCAGTACATAGCCAGTAACATGCTATGAGTGAACAAAAAAATAAGATTACTGGAATGACCACACATGGACGCGCTGACGGAAGAAGTCTGCTTTGGGTCAGTCATAAAGTTCTGACAGACATGATGTTATTCCAGGCTGTTTACGGATTTTTAAATAGTTTTTCTATGTAAATGTGTGTTATCTGGACGTCTTTGATCATTGTGTTGTGCTTTCCACTCTAAAGCTGCCTTCTTTTCCATTCATCAGCACTGTGGCTCTGCAGTTGGATACTATTGTGTGGCGTCTTGTGTTTTTAAGCACAGAAACATGTTCTTACACCTATCATGCAAAAGTAACAAATTATTAAATTGGAAAGTTAACTTAAGCACTTCTCCACATCTGAGCTAATGAATTAAAAACACGGCATAATTTCTGATAACTGGCATCACAGAGTTCACTGGTATTTTGGTGCTGTGTGAATGGTCTCTTAACAGTAAAAAGCCAGAACACCATTATTATTTATTATTTTATTTTTTTGTGAACAGCTGATTTTGTGTATTTACTGGAAAAGTAATTCTGGTAATTTTACGGTAATTTGCTGGCATTACTCTGTGAAAGGGGCTAATGTTATAGGGCTTGTCCTATACATTTCAATTCATCATTTACTCACATCCTCATTTCATCAAAACATCATAAAAACACAATTACAATAGTCCATACAACTTCTGTGATTCTTCCCTCTATTTTAACATTGTCTGACCATTTCATTTGTACTCTTTCTGCTCAGTTGTTAACCAGGACGGCCAGCCACTCATTGAGGGGAAGCTGAAGGAGAAACAAGTGCGCTGGAAGTTCATCAAAAGGTGGAAAACACGTTATTTTACCCTTGCCGGCAACCAGCTTCTCTTCCGAAGAGGAAAATCAGTAAGTGTCTTATTCACAAGACCTCAGAATGTATTATTTATGCATTCCTTACTGTCAAGACTCTTAAAAAAAATCATTTACTCACCCTTATTTGCTGTGCAATATTTTTGTGGAAATGTGCATTCACTACCTTTCAAAAGTTTGGTGCAAGTAAGATTAAAAAAATGAAATTAATGAATCAATCAATAAATATATATTTATTTATAAAAAATAAATAATACTATTTAGCAGGGACACATTAAAGTGATCAAAAGTGGCAGTACAGACATTTATAATGTTAAAAAAGATTTATATTTCAAATAAATGCTGTTCATTGAAATTTCTATTCATCTAAGAATTCTGTAAAAAAAAAAAATTTTACCGTTTCCACAAAAGTATTAAGCAGCAAAAAAAAAACAATTTATTACAATGTTTTTACTGTGTTTTGCTAAAAAAAAAAATGCAGCCTTGGTGAGCATAGAACACTTTGAAAACATTTAAAAAATCTAAATTTTTCAAAACTTTATTCCAAACATATTCCATACAACGTGTGCAGTATGTTCCAGATCTTCAGAAGTCAAATGATAGCCCTGTGTAAGAACCAAACCAAAATTTAAGCTGTTTGTTCAGTCTTTCTTTTCATGCCACTCTTAAGGCTTGTGCACACCGGGACGATTATTGTGCACGATTATCGCCGACGTTTAATGCCTCGTGACTAAACAAAGGGTGCCAATGTGAGTGTGCACACCGACGCGCAAAAGCGTCATTTAAAAAAAAAACGCCTCGGGCTCGTTTTTTTTGTTTGACGCGCCACGTTAAAAACTGGCCAACCAATGAGATTGGCACTTTTGTTCACGTGCCTGGAGTTGCTGAAGTTACAGTAAAACATGACTTGGTGGCGCTCAAGCGCAAAACGGTCTTGCCGAGCACACATTGATACCTAACGACGAAGAGGAAGTAAGTAGACCAAGAAGATGCATCGAGGCAAGATGAATGTAGAGCTGCTGGTCTCATTGGTGTCTGAACACAAAGGGCTTTATGACAAACGCGACAGCGACTACAAAAATCTCGATAAGAGGGAGTTGTTATGGAGAGGAATTGCAGATCAAATAGGATTCGATGTGTACCGGGGCATTTCTGTTTTTCATTAAGCGCCATCTAATGTCAGGGAGTGAATTTGCACGTTCACTCGGCTCATCGCCTGCGAAAATCGCTTGGGTATGAACACAAAAGACGCGTCGAAAAACGTTGGCGAAAAGCGCGTGCGCGATAATCGTCCCGGTGTGCACGAGGCTTTAGACGCGTCACCCAAAGTTTGACATCAATGCCAAATGCAGTTTTCTTTGCAAAGTAGCACGTTTGAAAAACACAATGACAACTGAGAGCAATACTGATTATTAGTGAACCATGACTTTGGTTCCCATGACTGTTTCTCACACAAAGCTATTGTATTGCTACCTCTGATCACTGGTCTGCTTTCAATATACTGAATAGAGCAGGGAGACCATAAATCTTATTTCGTGTTCCATGGAAGAAAATAAGTCATATGGGTTTAGAATGTCATGACAGTGAGGGAATGCAGAGAAAATATCAGTTTTTGCTTGACTAATCGTTTAATTCATTTGTTTTCAATCAAATCAAGTCCTCAAAAAAATTAGTTAGTGTATCATTCTAATTAGGGGCCAAATGTCCTCTTTTTTTAAAGAAAACTAGTCTTCTTGCATCTGCCTGTGAACCCTCACCCACTGCAAAAGATTACGAGCATGAAAAACAGTGTTCCTGAACCACCATCTATATTGAGCAATTCTGTAATCTGGTGACTAAAAAAGTATTTCAGTTGTTAGATGTTTTATTCTAGGAGCTAATGGCTCACTAGTCATTTTATTAGTCTAGTGCCCTGCTTTATGGAAGAGGATCGGTTCTTTATAAAAACCCATTACTTAATCTTGAGATTCACCAAAACGTTCCCTTGAAGGGATTTACTTGAACTAAATAAAACTAAAATGGCTTGTCATAATCTCTCTGTTGTGTTTAAACAAAGCAAAGACCCAGTTTAATATGCATCCATATAACTTGGAACCATTTAGGGTTGTGCAAAAGAGAATTCATAACCAAAACCATGACATACAAAGAGTGACTAAAAAGCTAAGATCAGTCAATCTCGCAGTATTCTGACAGAAAGCCAGCAAAAGCTTTTTAGTAAAAATGAATTCATTTGTCAGAGCCGTAAGCACATTAAATCTTGATTGATTGTACATCTTAATTTGGAAAAGCAATGCATTGCTACAGTCATTTTATTTTGCAAAGTCTTGACAAGAGTCTTAATTTTATCAGGCATGACACAAGCTCTTTCAATATGATTTTGAGGGCAATTTAGCCTCTTGTCACGGTATCTTGTTTTTATTATGCCTTTAATTTGCTTGCAATGCTGTAGTTTTTCTTTCATTTTAATGGTGCTTATTCTCATCAGTGGACACAAACAACGATAAGCCTCATTTCTGGCAAACCTTGTGCAGCGCCTCTTAAAAACAATTTGAGAGACAGGCAGAACAATAGAGTAAGAGAACTGGAACCATCAAGAGAGGACATGCACGCTTTGATCCTCCAACCGAAAACCCCATCCATTGTGTTTTCCCATCAGGAAATAGTGGTTGACTAGTTGACTAGTCATCACAAGATTGTGTATTATGCAAACGCACCGTAACCCTTGTGAAAATTTAAAGTTTTACTTTAAAGCACCTTTAAATCATGATGTTTTAACATGTAAAATGTATGTTGTGCTTTAAAGAAGTACACTTATTTTGATGTGTTGACTTACTAAAGAACATGTAAAGTTCCTGATTATAAGGTAGTTTGTTAATATATTTTAAAAATTTACTAAACTTCAACTTCATCATTAAAAATGTGTAATTATAAATATATTTAAATACATGACATACAAGTAAACAGAAATGACATTCAAGTATATTTTAGTTTACAGTGAGTGCACTTTAACTGTATTTCAAAGACAATAGAAGCAATTATTAAATTACATATAAGATGTACTTAAGTCCTACTTAAGTGGGTCAAAAAGCACTCTTAAAATTCATTAATTCCCTTTAAATTTAAATTAACATGCAATTAATTGTCCAAAAACATTAAATTCAGTTGCTCTTAGGTATATTCTTTTAAAGTATATTATTTCTGCAAAGTACTCTGATAAAGTGTCTCAAAAGTCTGATTGGCGTAAAAACTCAGTGCAGACGAGGTGTTGGGTCTGACTTAGACTACTGGCTCAATGCACATGGCTGTGGTCCATGCAAAGCTTCCTGATTGTTAGAGTGTAAAGCATTAGCTTTTTCCCTCTTGTTACTCACAGAAGGATGAACTGGACAACAGCACAATTGAACTTAGCAAAGTGCAAAGCGTTAAGGTGGTTGCAAAGAAGAGGCGTGACCGCGGGCTGCCCAGAGCCTTCGAGATCTTCACCGACAGCAAAACCTACGTGCTGAAAGCTCAAGACGAGAAGCATGCGGAAGAGTGGCTGCAGTGCATCAATGTGGCTGTGGCCCAGGCCAAAGAACGTGAGAACCGCGAGGCCACAACATACCTGTGATGCTTGTTCTGCTGAGGATCCTGTGGGCTTATCAAGTCAGATGTGTGTGTCTTATTGCCACGTTTTTTCATTATGACAGTTTATTAACATCAGAGACAAAAGTCCTGTCTCAAATGCCACCTTCAACCTTTGCAGTCATCCTCCACAAGACTGTCAGTTGGTCCTTTGTTACGGTAAGCTTGGCAAACGGCATCAAGGGCACATTGTGGCCAAAAAGGATCCCTCAGGAGAACCCTCATGAATCATGAAATGATCAATGGGACATCCTACAGTCTTATGGACTTCTCAGACATGTGTTAGGAAAGAGCACAAGACCACAAGTCAATATCAAGTGCGTCATTTGGGACATGACCAAAGAAAAAGTGTGACGTACAATGAGGCTGAGTAACACTGAGCTGCACCTGTTCTACACTTCGCACTGACGCTCATTCTATAGGTCATATCTTAACATTTTGAGAACAGCAATCGTGATTTAATTCATCTTTGTCTTCCAGAGAAGTATAGAAGACTTATTTAGAATCAGCTATCACATACAATTAGAGCTGTCACAGTTAACATGTTAACGCATACAGTAAATACAGTAAGTTTTAACACTTCATTATTTAAACCGTTGCCACAATTATTCAGTTTGATGTTAAATACTGACTTACTGTCTCATCCTGTTTTGTGGTTTCGCTTTTTGGTATTTGTGCGAGATAAGTAACATTTAAGCAGAATCCACATAAATTCATGAAACTAATAATTAAATAGTCTGATTTTATTTTCTTTCCTTGAAAAGGAACTGAATGCGCTAGCACGTTAACTAGAACTATTAGAAATTAATAAGGTTAATCCAGGAGTTCCCAGACTTTTTTTGATCAGCCACACCGCTTAGATGTAATATTACTTGTATTTACTTGAACTACACCCTGAGATTTTAAGTTAATAATTTAATTGATATATTTACATGTTCACGGTTCTCTAATGTTGATAATACTAATCATAATAAAAAAATGTATACAATTATTATTAGTAGTATGTTTTAAATTATTAAAATAGAAATATATTACTATTATACAGTACACACTTGTGCTGTAAAATAAAAAATAAATATTTGATAATGAAATTTATTTATTTTAATTTGACATTCAGTATAATTAATTATTAGCTTTTTTTATCAACCCACAAACTCCTTGCAGTTCCCCTGTTTGGGAAACCCTGGTTTAATCAATTGACAGCCCTCCTTTCGGTACATGGCATGAAGTAAGCACTGAAGTTTTCATAATCGTGAATTTTACTGCCAGCTCCTCTGCGCTCCCAGAATACAGCAAGAGCCAATGTTATCTTGACAGCAATAATATTATTAGGGCTGCCCTCGACTAAAGATTTTTCTGGTCGACCAGTAGTCGTTCATGTTAAGCGGTTAGTCGACTAATCGCACGTTTATATTAATAAACCACAAATCATAGTAATGAGCGTTTAATTGCCTATGCAGCGCTCGAATAAGGTTTGCCACACAGCGCACCGGCAGAAGTAATGATTATGAATGCATCAGGAAAAAAAGCAAGGAGACTGCCTTAAAATTTTAATAATTCGTTGATAAACCAGTGTTTGCTGTATTTTCGGCTGCAGTGATGAATTGATGATCTCCTCAGTGGATGCGCCTGGATGAGAATAGTTGTTCCCTTTCATGGGAACTTCGAACTGCGTCCTCTAGGGGTCGCTATGGGGAACGCCTCGTCGTGACCCGTGTCTGAAGCATACATTGAAAAAACACCAACTTGTTGGCCGGCGACAGCCATGACGTCACTACCGGTGCGACTATAGTATAAATAGGCGCCGGGAGCACACATCATTCTCTTCTTCGTCTTCACTGACCGGTCTGTTTGAAGCGTGCATTCCAAAAAGCAAAGTAAGAGCTTTTTCTTT